ATCCCGCAACCCGCGGTGTGGCGCGGCGAACAAGGAGGAGGAGCGCGCGTGTAGGTCTCCTCTTCTCATGCTCATACAAGTGGTAGAAGAGCTCACCTTATAAAGAGGTGCAACTCTCTCTCAACTTCCGGGGTGGGACTAAACTTTAGTCTCACTCACTCTACTCACATGTGTGCATGAATGGGCCAAGAGAATTTTAGAATTTTAGTTGGGCTTTGGGCCAAAGGCCTACTAGCAAAACTCCAACACTACTATACGTACAAGAGCCCTATGTTGCAATCTATTGCTGCGACTATCTACAGCTCCACGACGGCGGTGGTCACCGAAAGGTCTTCAGGATGAGTCATCTCTCTTGATCCAGTGGTGACTTCAGGGGTGAGATACAAATTATGGACGAGGCTTGACGCAGAGGGATGGTTGTGCAGTGGCGATGATCGCACCGCACGTAGCTGCTGAAAAGTGGCGGCAACAACATATGAGTGATTGCGATGGTGGTGTTACTCGAGCACCTGATCGGGACGAAAGGCTAGGTCAAACCCTAGTGGTTATACCTGGCAATGGCGATGCTTTTTCTTACGCCGTTACCTTGGTGAAGGCATTGCTTGAATACGCTCGAACTGATTCTTCAAGGTAAAAACCTAGATTCTGACCTTGTGGTTAGATCTGGTGACGCCGACACTTGATTGTTGCTCCCTCCCTTCCTAAAGGCGTTGATTTTGAAGAATCCTATCGTCCATGTGGTGTAATGAAATAGTTGGTACGAATATGATCATCGTTGTAGTTTGTTGATCATAAATCTGAACGCTTTGAAGTCTTTTTTCTCTCGCTTACGCTTAGTTTTGGTCTTATATGACTTTGTTAATTGCTAGCATTTTCGCGTGTGTGAGTTGGTGTTGCCTGTGCAGATCCTAGCTGTGTAGAAGCCTGGTGTGTGCTCACTATGTTATGTATCTTCTTACTGCTTCATTTTGAGCCAATAAGATTCACCCATTATCGAAAAAAGGGGCCCCTGTGCTAATGCAAGATCAAACAAGCTATGTGTAACGAAGTCAAGCCGGCTCCGACAGTAGGGTGGTAGTGGCGGCGCACCACGGACTCGTCTGGTGCCAGAAAACGATCGGCTCTTCAAGGTTATATACAAATGCAATCTCTCATTTTCAGTATACAGAATACTCCCTCCGTCCGGTGAAGAGTGTACATCTAGAGATTTTAAGACAAATTATGGACTTAAGTAAAAAAAAATGCATTGGAATGGTGCAAACCAATATCTCTCCTCTTTAATTACCCAAGCCCCAATATAACAGATTTCAAAATGATTCAGATCACGTAATGAAAGGAAGTTTGTTTTCAGAATAATTGGAATCACGGATCTTTCTTGTTCAATCTTTGCCATCTTCAGAAGGATTGGAAGTACAGATGTTCCTTGTTTCTTCCTTGTTGAGAATTAGCACACACGCGTGGCCTACTACAGCGGAAACAAAGTAATCTTAGCACCCCTTCAAAGATCGTTGCTTAGCACGGAAGAAAAATATGCAACAACACATATGCAAGAAATAACTCTGGCAACATAGTAGACGCTCCTCAAACGATGTCTGGACAGCAGCAGAACATCAACACACATATGACACCAGATTTTTTAACATGGAAAACCCTCCAAATTGGGGTAAAAATCATGGGCCGAAGCCATCTAAATCTTCTTCCACTATTATCAAATATGGGATATAAAAAGTTGTTGACAACATTGTTTAAATTCGTGGAGGTCGGCTCGAGGTGTCTTGCCTCCTCCTCTCTTTTGACAGGCTATTGCCTCCTTGTTAATGTAATTCCGTGGGGTTCCTCCCTCTTGAACGGAATTCCGTGGGTGTTACGGTGTTGTACTCGACCACGCCCCCCACAACCTTGTTGCGTGCCCGCCGCTCCCCGCCATGCCCCAGCTCAGTCATCATCAACACCGTGCTCGTGAACCATTTGCGGCAGCACGCTGATGAGCCACTTCTTTCCAGCATGGGTCAAAGAATGATCATCCTTGCATTAGCACTTCGGGCTGGGGGCTTCATTTGAGCATGGCCGCTGTCGCCGGAGGAGACGAGTCTGGTTTATATAGAGTCGGCCTGAGGGCTAATGATCAGAACCAAGCGCTGCCACCAGCTGTGTTTATGGACATAAGAACTGGAAACAGGCTGCCGGTACTGTGCTGACATATGGATGTCAACTGTCAAACCATGTTCAGGTTTATAATGTTAGGCATCTTCCAATTTACGATCTAAATATAAAGTACTCCTTGGGTCTGATATTAGCAAGTCCCATACCTAATATAGAAAAAGCAAGCAAACAACTTCCTTGTCAAGGAAACCACACATTGTCAAAATGTTTCAGTGAGGAAGTAACCAAGCCAAGCAAATAGCAAAAGAGAAAACAAGGCTGACTTGTCGATACCTTGATCTTATATTTGAGTCGAGCTTCAGCTGTAGGAAATTTCTATTTTGTTCTTCCCCCTTGGGTCTGATATTGCCGTGGATCATTTTTATTGGCCTCCTTCCTCTTCCTCTTTTCCCACTTCCTCTGGAGCTTCAAACGCCTCTTTGTCAAATACCTCCCCTTCCTGGAGGGCTCCACCTCCTCAAACTCAAACTTGGGTTTCCTATCTGTAGACAAAACAAGATTCAGGGAATCATAATTCATAGGTAGCCCATCTAATATCCCAAGAATTCACAAATGGGTAGAGGGGTTTAAGCATTCACTAGGAGAAACAGCATCAGATCTGGAATAAGTAGAAGGGGAAATATGATGACACTAAATTCAATTTGTCGTGGATGAAATATGATCAAAGGTAAGTTATGTCTATGTACTTGCTAGACACTTCAGAGTTCAGACAATAAGTTGAGTGACTAAGTAGGCAACACTTGACAAAATCAAGTCCAGTGATAAATCATAGGGAAAATGCAACCATATAATTAAGCCAAGAAGCTGCAACTGGTAAATTATGGCACTTCATAAACAAGCAGATAAACTACAAATCTGGTCATGTGGTGAGCATTGAGCATTGAATTGAGAATCGAAAGAGATAAGAATCAGCAAAACGGTTTCACTACCCAAGGGAGGGATGGGAAGGATCAAAAGAGATTAAGGAATAAGGAGTACGAAATAAGCAGCCAACTTTCTCAAATCTTACAATCTTGGATAACACACAAATAGTTCAAGTCCCAAATGTAATGAATCAATGTCTAGCCACTTTTAGTTGTAATTAATGCACTCTATGCAGAGGCACGATTCAGGAGACCCAGGACTAACATGTAACTTAAATAATACAGGATGCATGTAACTCAACATTCAGCAACAACACATAGATTAAAATATCACAAGCTAGCTGTATCCATCAGCTGGCTACTAATGCATGATTTACAGTATCCAAAGAAAACTTGATTTCTACCAAACTCGGAACTATCTGCTGTTCAAAAACTCGATTAGCAGAAACACAAGCTAAAATTTTCACAAAATCATGGAGCTGCTAACTAAGCTCTTCACCAAAAACCGAGCAGTCAATCAGAATATTATTAATAGATCAGGGTCTAAGTTTCAGAAATAATATGGAAACTTGAACATTGTATGTTATTCCTCTTAGCACAAAGTGTTGTTACAAATCTGAAATCTCTACAGCTATACACTACACATGAGTATATAAAGAAACCTCTCTTCAGTGTTTCCAACTTTCCGTAGACGTGCACAAGAGTCAATGCATGTATGTTGGCATACTCAACTTCTGCCATGTGCCTAGTGCCTCTCAGAACATCAATTAAATCACTGAATCGAACAGCACTAGCTGCCTCCAGTACATTGCTCAACTAGTACTGTAAGCAACATCTTTTGCAAGTGTTATATAATCTGGTAGAGTCCACCAGAGAATTATGCATAGAGCGAGCAAGACCTAATAGCTACTGAACATATTATGTTCCATACCAAGTGCATGACAACACACCAAGGTTCTTTTGAGTATTCTATACACGTTTTGTTGATAAAACCAGCAGTTCTCGTGTACAACCCAATGTATCATGCAGATGAGCTTCAGGTCATTCCAAGTACATGATTCAACAAGCTAAGAAAACAAATGCTCACTATATATAGGTACCATCTAGTTTAATGCAGTTATAGCATTTTGATGGAAGGGCAAGAGATGCTCTCTGGAACAGCAAAACCATCGATTTCTTCCAGACTAATGTTGACCATTTTAGCTCTGGCCACAGGGTCTCTAGAAACTTAGAAACTGAATGATTGATTATATTTGTCTGGAAGAGAAGCACAAATATGAGAAGCACAAGGAATAAGCGACCACATCACTTGAACTGGATATCATTAAAATAAACATACTAGAGAAATAATCCGATCAAAAGTCAGGATTATGGCCATGTGGTAATTGCAGAGCATTGAATTTAGGATTGAAACAGGTAAGAATAAAAATACCTGATAGCCGGATGCAAGGTGAAAGTAGCATGTTTTGGGATGGGTTAAGGAGTGCGAAAGAAGCAGCCAACTTTCGCAAATTTTGTTGTGACAGGAGAAGGATTGCCATTGTCCAGAACTCGTTTGACGATTCATTGCAAAGTTTACAAAAATATCAAGACAAGCCTGCAAGAAAAATGACAAAGAAAAGCTCCAGTCTCTGGAACAGCAAAACTATCGATTTCTTCCAGATAAATGTAACCATTCTAGCTCTGGCACGATGATCAGCACAGGATACATGGTCTCAGCTTGGAAACTGAATGATTGATAATATTTTTGTGGAAGAGAAGCACAAGGAATAAGCGATCACATCACTTGAATCGATACTGAACATCATCAAAATAAGGGGACATACTAGAAGAACAATCGGATCAAAAGTCTCTAGGCACTAGGATCTCACTCAGTAGAAACAAGCCAAAATTTCACCACCAAGCAAGCATGGTCTATGAAGCGTAAATGAACATACACGAGCACTTATGGCAGCCCAAACAGGTAACAAAAATTCACTTTAATCTACTCGCAGAAAGCGCGAGCATGGGAGATATCATCCCCTGGATCTCCTGCAGCGTGTGCTGTATCTTAATCTCCTCCACGACCATCCGCTTAAGGTTCCTGATGCACCCCCTCAACTTCCCCCCATCCTCGCTTATGATATCCTCCGCGCGCATCTCCAGCACCTTGTTCGCCACCCCAAGCAACAGCCTTGCGTACCTCGGCAGGGTCGCGTTGCGATGCAGGAAGTCGAGGAGAAGCCCGAGCTCGGCCACGTCCAGATTCCCGATGCATCTCACCAGCTTCCTCCTCGCGACCAGCTCCTCCATCACCGCCACGACGCTCCTCGGATTGTTCTTGGCTAATGCTGAAACCAGAGCATCCTTGTGCCTGAACTTCCTCAGCAGCTTGTCGTGCTCTGCGAACTTCGCCTTCTTGGGCCTTGAGATCACGAAGTCGCCCTGCTTGGCCTTTTCATTCTGGCCGCGGAGGAAGTATCTGTAGTAGCTCGGCTTGAGCGCCTGCTTCTCTGGCTTGGGCATTGTCCAGGCGAACTCGCTGCTTACAACCTCCTCTTCCACCTCCTCTGTTGCATTCTTCTTCCTTCTGCGCACAAAGATGTCACCCTTTGAAGACCCGGCAACAAGCACCGTCCCACACGGCGAGCAAGCCACGGACAGCAATTCCTTGGGATACCGCATCGAGTGTGTCATCTTGAGCTCCCCATAATCAAAGCACTTCACATAACCATCACTCCCTGCGCTAAGCAGCCGAGTTTCCCCAGTGGCGCCCATCTTCCCGAGCGCGAGCGCGAAGATTGTCTTGACATGGCTCTCCACCGAGTGCACGAGCCGGCCACCACCAATCACATCCCAAATCTTGACCGTGGTGCCTCCGGCCGTGGCAAGCAACCCGCCGGACGGCAGGAACAGCACGCTCTCCACCGAGGCGCCATGGGATAAGGACAAAGCGGGGGCCTTCCCCGTGCGGGCGTCCCACAGCTTGACGCTCTGGTCGTAGGAGCCGGTGGCGAAGAGGTTGTGGTCGACGGGGGACGGCGCGCCGGCGCGGATGTAGTCGCGGTGGGCGGCGGGGACGGTGAAGACGGGCGTCTCGGAGGGGACGTCCCAGTAGGCGAGCAGCGCGTCGTCGCCGGCGGTGAGGAGGTGGACCTTGTCGCCGCCGGCCTCCGGGTAGCGGACCACGCGGGTCTGCGCGGCGTGGGCGGAGAGGGTGCGGAGCGGGCCCGCGGTGGGCTTGTCGACGCGGAAGACGCGGACGACGCCCCTCCCGTCACCGGCGGCGAGCAGCGCCCCGTCGCAGCGGAAGGAGGGCGAGAACGCGGCGCCGTCCTTGCAGACGGTCGTCTTGGGCCGCGGCGAGAGCGGGTCGCCGGCGAAGAGGTGCACGGCGGAGGACCAGGCGGCGGCGAGCGTGGGCCTGGCGTGCGCCGGGGAGAAGGCGAGGTGGGTGACGGAGAAGGCGGTGGAGCCCGTGTCGAGCGTGGAGGAGCGGAAGTTGCGCCAGTAGGCGGCCTCCGGCGAGAGGCGGTTGGCGTTCCCGTGGGACGGGAGGAGCGAGGTGTGCGGCGCCGCCGGGAAGAGCGGCTTCGTGGTGTCGGCGGCCATGGCGGCGGCGGGTGGACGGGCGGCGGCGGCGGGGTGGACGAGAGGAACCCTAGCAGCTGCTGCAGGCGGACGGGGGGATGGACAGGAGGGTTTATGGGTTTAAGTGATGGGCCGCGTGGGAAAAAAGGCTTTGCTGCGCGTCTTCAAGAATTTCGGCCCTGTAGAAGCCTTAACGTTTTATACCGAAATGATCCCAGGTTTTTTCCTCTAAACAGAATGGGCCAGCTTCTAAAGGAACAGCGAAAATGCTTCACATCAGATTTTTTTTTAAAAGACTTAACAAAGTAGAATACAAACTAGTTTTTGAAATACGAATTTTCGTATTATTTCAAAATCTGTTTGACGAAACTATTGTGAAACTGTGCGTGGAATACTTTTTTAAGTTTGTTGGTGTATGTTTAAAAGGGTGAGATCGAATGAAATATGTCTGAAATAATTGAAACGTGTGTGAGAAAACTATGAGTTGAAAGTGAAATTGTTTTTCAAACAATTGAAGATTGTGCTAAATGTTTTTTCAAACTGATTTTTGTGTGCGGAATGTTTCTTAAAATGATTTAAATATGACATAAATAATTGAAAATAGCATGAATATTTATGATTTATATTTTTAATGTTTTGTAATATGTAGAAATAGTTTAATTTGTGCTTCTGAAATTTTGGTAAAACTATTCCCAAAGTTTTGTATATCACTGATATTTTTGGAAAAATTTGAACCAAAAAAAAGATATTATATCAAAGTCTTTTTGAGACTTTTGAGATAATTCCTTTGAATTTTTTAAATCTTTTACCATTATTTTGGATTTTGTCAAAATAAATAAATGTTATTAGTTATTGTTTCTGGTATATGAATAGTGAAAAGCAAATTCATATACTGAATATGTACTATTCAGAATACCAAGTATGCTATACATGTGGCGGCTACATATTATTGATGGAACCTATAAAAATGACTTCAGCCGAGCTAGACTATTTTGCTTCTCGTTTGTTTCCAAGTACTCGTCGGTATAGAGGAAGCGCGAATAGATACAATAGTGACGCTCACCGCAAGTGGCGGAGGACAATCTTTGGCTGGTGCTGGTTGGCTGATTATCCATGAGCGGAACACATTTGTTGAAATCTCCTGTTGAACACCGCCGTTCTAAGGACCAATCCATCTGCCTAGTACCGGCGTCAGGTCGGAGTGACGTGTATGTACGTGTGACAAAATCACAAAATGTGTCATATACTGTAGTTAGGTCCAAGTTAAACCACGAGCATATAAGAACAACATTGATCCGGCAAAAAGCTCAGCTGCACGTGCAAGAACGTCAAGATCACTGATTGTGGAGTTCCTAAATTAAGTACTCGTCGATCTTGAACGCCAGCCAAGCAATGAGGCTCATCATCTTGGATGACTAAAGCAGCAAAAAAAATGACTTGATTGAAGTTGTTGCCCACATGGGCATGTGGCACTCACTTATTCGCCCTGCATAATAATTCCCGCTGGGATCCCTGCAGGTGGCCCGAGCCAGAAGAAACGAAGAAGATGCATGGGCGCTCTATGTTGTCGGTGCCTTTCGAATCGACCGTGCGGGAGCTCCCCCATGGTCGACCGTTTCTATCAAGTTGTCTTTGCCATTCTTTTCAAACTCATAATTTTTCTAGGCACTCTCCAAACTCTTTCTTTTAGCTCCTCTTCAAACTTATTTTTTAAGTTTTCTTTTTTGAGAAACACCTTTTTTTAGGTAATCTTCAAACTTACACAAAGATGACAGATCCCATCAGATGCAAAAAGAAACAGATATGGAATTCAGCCCGACCCATAGTTTGACAGAGATCAATCCAGCCCATCTAAGCACCGGGTCCCATTTCAGGCCCAAAAATACCCAAACGTTATCCTCCTGCTCCTCCGCTCTCCGCTCGACTGGTAGCCACGGACCAAACCCACCAGAGAGCATGGCGGCAGCAGCGACGGCGGCGCCGCCGCCGGCGGTCGCCACCGCGCTCTCCGCGCTCCTCCGCCGCGGCGCGAGCCGAAGCCATTCCCTCCGGGTCTCCTCTCGCCCCAGGTGCGTCTCCTCGGACGCGGTCGCGGAGGCTGAGCCTGCGCCGGCGCGGAGGGGAGGCCACGCCGGGACCCGCCTGGAGGAGGCCGTGCCGGCCGCGGAGGGGCGGTCGCGGGTCGACGCGTGGATCTCCGCGCGGCTGGGCGGCGGGGGCGTTAGCCGCGCCCGCGTGCAGGCCAGCATCCGCGCCGGCCTCGTCGCCGTCAACGGCCGCCCCGTCTCCAAGGTGCTAGGAAGTTTACATCTTCTCGCCGTTGCAAAATTCAGCTAGGAAGCTTCTTAAGCATTTCTTATCTGTTATTAATTGTTCTCTTAAACCAGAGTGCTCCTGTATATTGGAAAACAACAGTTGTGAGCTCAAACTAGAAATATTCATGCTAAACAGCTGAGGAGACAATGCATTGCATGATACAAAAATAGTGCAAGTTTCGGTGCAGACGCCGTGGGTTGGTAGCATTTGATGGTATTCTAAAGCTGGCTTGCTTTGCGCTTCTGCACGTAGTAGGTTTCGCAGACGGTGAAGGGAGGGGACAAGGTCAGCTGCACCGTGTCGGAGCTGCAGCCGCTGAGGGCAGAGGCGGAGGACATCCCGCTGGACATTGTTTACGAGGATGAACATCTTCTCGTTGTGAACAAACCGGCTCATATGGTACGCACTATCTTTTGTAGTGATATGGAGGAGCAAGATTTACTTGTAGTTACCTTGTTCTTAGGAATGTCTCAATAAGGTTTTATCACTTTTATGTACACTAGTTTGTGGAGAGCATATTTTCTACATAGCTGGACCTTCAGCATGAGACTTATGAGCTTAATGAGGGTGTCTAGTTAAACGAGAAACATAATGATTAAAAAAATATCCAGTAGATAACCACACATACAGTTGATGAGAAGTCTCTGGCTACCTGTAAAATCAGTGTATACTGAAAGGTAACTCGTTCTACTTCAAATTTTGAGGCTTGTTCATTCACGTGTTTTCCGTAGTACATCGACATTCAAGTTAATGTTGGTTATACTGTCCTGTTAACGACCTTTTCCACAAAACATTGCCCCCATCCTAATTCTATTTAATTTTTTAAACTCTTACATGCAGTTTTCTTTCTACTGGTAGGGAGAATAATTATTCTTGCATTCTATGTGTTTTGACTTTTAGGTTGTTCACCCAGCACCAGGGAATGCAAATGGCACCTTAGTCAATGCTATACTTCACCACTGCAAGATTTCAACTTTTACCTGTTTAGCACGCAGTCCAATTTATGATGAGTGCCCTGAATCTTCAGATGATGATGTTGACGTATTTGATGTTGACCAATTTACTATTGGTGAAGTAAGTTCAGAGGTCCGCGAAGCTATTGTGCGCCCTGGTATTGTGCATAGGCTTGATAAGGGGACAAGCGGACTTCTTGTTGTAGCTAAGGTATTGCCCAGTCGGTTCTGTCCCAAAATATAAACACTAATAGCTTCCCATAGGACTTGCATATGAAAATGAAATTGTTATTGTTTACCTATTAACATTGGTCTCTCTTATTTGTTGTATCAAGTTTGTTGTGGACTTACTTTGGATTCACCTTGTTGACAGGATGAGCATTCACATGCTCAATTAGCAGAGCAATTCAAGTTGCATACAATAAGTAGGGTATACATCAGTCTTACTTGTGGTGTACCTAGCCCAAATTCTGCCAGAATTGAAGTTCCTATATCTCGTGATCCTAACAACCGGATACGTATGGTTGCTGCTCCTGGATCAGGCCACAGATATGCGAAGCATGCTGCTAGTAGGTGATTCATGCTGCTTCTCCAAAGCTGTTTAGTTAAAATATAAATACTTACTAGGACAGCCAAGCATACATACTAAAATAATGTTTCTGAATAAATACTTCATGATTTTCTTTTTAAAAGAAAGTTCTTCTAGTTAAAATGATCTGTTGTCCCTAAAGGCAAGTTCTTCTGGATGAAACCAGCCTGATGTCATAGCCATACAGGCAAGATGACCAAAAGGTTCATACTGTTTAGATTATTATGCTGAGTAGTGTGAAGAGGGATTAATTCAACTTAATTCCTTGCTTTTGACTCCTTACTCCTAGCATTAGCTGTGCTGGCGAAGAGTTATGAAGTTAAACCTTGCTGTTTCATGTAATTATACATAGCTCGCTCACAAGAGTAGAACTTCTCCACATAAATACTGTCCCCATCATTTTATTTTGAAATACTATATATTGCTTATGCAACTTCCAAATGTTTTCAAGCTTGGTTGCTTAGTTTTTTCTTCTCAAGACCAGAAATTTATTTCTCTGCTATTTCAAGAAATTTTACAGGTATAAAGTAAGAGAGGTCTTTTGTGCTGGTGGGTCTGCACTGGTAGAGTGGAGATTGGAGACAGGGCGCACTCACCAGGTGATACATTACATGATAGTCTCATATTTTAAGAACTAACTACAATATTTGTTCGAATTTGTCGTGGCTTAAAAAGCATTCTAGGCAATGGTTGGAATTCTGAATTATATACAGTGTACATCTCAATGTTGGAAAATGATTCTCAAATGCAACCACTTATTTTATCTTGTTAATTATCCCGCACCAACCGGTTTTCAGATCCGGGCACATGCGAAATATCTAGGGAACCCCCTACTTGGTGATGAAACATATGGAGGTACCAAAAGCATGGCATTGTCACTTTTGAGACCCAGAACTCCTTCAAAATATCACGGTGATCTTACAAATCTGGTATCAAAGATAGACAGGCCATGTCTCCATGCTGCATTGCTCGGGTATGTATTATCCAAGATGCATCTTACTGACATTTTTCTTGGGTCTCATTTTCCTTTTAGGAATTTTTTCTTGCATTTGACTTTGGTTATTGTTTCCTTGACAGATTCAAGCATCCCCACTCTGGAAAGGTACTTGAGTTCTCATGTCCCCCTCCAGATGATTTTACTGAGGTACTTGATGAGTTGCGTCGTGTTACACCGACAAGTGAAGGCCAAGATAGCGACAGTGCTGCTCAAGTGTGATTAATGCAGATGGAGAACACAGAAAATGCTGCTTTGGATATGCGATGTTTGACCTGAAGGTGTTTGGACTTGTGCATCTCTGAGTGAATGGCCAAACTAACAGAGTGGTCTTCAAGCTTTTCGTCATGTTCAACCAGAGATCACCACTACACCAAGGAAGACTTCAGGAATTTTGACAAGTCTTGGAAACATATTTTTAGTGCTCTTTTTCTATGTTGAAGGAACCTAGGGAAAATGCATGGTTAATTAAGCGTGTTGAAAGCATTTTAGCACAATTTGATGTGTGTGCACTGTACAGAGGTGTAAAATACATTGAAACACAATGCTCTTGTGAAATGGAAATTTTGGCTTACATCAAAACCTGCTGCTTGTTGGAGATCAGGTGGTTGGTATCACACTAGGCCGAAAACGAAGAACAAATAACTTTCGACGCGTTTGGATCGCCCCAGGTAATGTATTCAGTTTGCCTCTCCATCGCCGGAGTTGGGCACAACTTGTTGTAGTAGACAGTCGGGAATTCGTCGTGCTAAGGCCCCATAGGACCAGCATCCCAGAACAGCAATCGCCGCCGACGAAAAATAACGTAGATTGGAAGGATCCAAACTGAAGACACATGAACATAGACGAACAACGACGAGATCCGAGCAAATCCACCAAAGATAGATCTGCCGGAGACACACCTCCACACACCCACCAACGATGCCAGACGCACCGTCGAAATAGGGGCTAGGCGGAGAGACCTTTATTCCATCTTCAGAGAGCCGCCGACATCTCACCTTCTTGGGCAGGACACAAACCCTAGCAAGGAAAAAAACCGGACTAAAAACGGAGCCCTCCCGCCGGCGCTTGCCAGGATCTATCGCGCCTCCATGGCCCTAGAGCCACGGGAGACGAGGCGGACCTGCGTCGGCGCTGGCGAGAGGCAAGAACCCTAACTTTCTTTCTTGGAGGAGGAGGTGGCTCAGCTAGTGTGCTATTGTTCTTCACACGTACATCCAACCTCTAGTTGGTTCTCAGAATATTTTATAAATAGCCCATAAAACAAATGCATGCCCTAACACACAAAAAGAATGTGATCCCTCTTTGTTTTAGTGGAAAGGCCGGTTGTATTACCGAAATATCAGGTATCTTTTGTAGGTCCCTTGGTAGGGCCAGAAGTACGTACTCCAACAGTTGGCCCAACCAGGTTTTATGAGCGCAAGCCTCCCTAACTAAATTATGAGCTCGAAACTGCTCCACACAGGACAGTGTATGGACGATAAGTGCACGACCAGAGGATCCAGCGGCCATTGCTCCGCTGTGCTCAAGATTCGTCGGCTCGATTTAATCGTCGTGCATGAGTCATCCAAACATTGTCGTCCCCGTAGCATTGCTCTTATGAGCTACTTTATTGGCCGTCCGGTGAAACCGGCTTCACCAAACAATGTTGGAATTAGTGCACCAAGCCTTCGGGTGCTCTACAAGAGCCCCCTGGCCGAGAAGTCCTTTACTTCCTCATTCAACTTTCCCCAACAACCTCGTTATTCATCTTGAAGATAAGCCATTCACATGGATCTGCTTAGTTAGTTCTAATGATTGTTCATCCGTAGCTTCTAGTCGAACGTCACTGGAGAAGATGACAAGCTCTTGCAACAAAATTGTCATTGTGGTCATGAATAATCACACCGTCGCCACCTCTTGCTCCAGTCCATGGGAATGCTTCATCAATATTGATCTTGACATTGTCAATCAGAGCCACAACCCTGCGAAGAGCTTCGGATGTCCGAGTTCTCTTCCTCAACCATGAAATTTTTTCATCTAGCCACCCTCTTCAGGTCTTCTATTTCCATCTCATCTCTCACTTTTTTTTTCAAGCCTGCCACAACTAGCAATTAAAAACACTGAGAAGGGCATGGTTGTGTGCATTCATTCTACCCAGCCAATCTAATAGCGACCCTTGAAAGCCTGACCGATGGCGTCTTGGTAGAACGTCAGGTACCTTCATGCATGTGTTGTATGAGGAAAAAATCAGAAAGGATGACAAATGATTAAACTAATTTGTAAGAGGCGTAGTACAATTATTATTATTATTTTATATTTTGAGTATGTGTAATAGATGAAAACATGCATCATGTCAAAAATAAACTTTAATATTATTGATTTTCCTTACTTTATAATAAATAATTTGAAATGAATTTTGATTACAAATAGCAATAGTCAACTGGAATTTCTACTTATTACTATACATCGACACCTTCCTCATAATAGGTCAATAAAAAAGGTTTGTGATTAGACATAACAGTCATCGAAGGGATGATGCCGACGATTAGTCATCTCATAATATGTTTACATTGCCGCAAGAGGATTTAACAGCGATGATTGTGATACCTTTATAGTGAGTAGACATTGTTTTATATGAACGCACCCTGCAGATTTAATGTGCAAAATGTTTATATTTATAATAAACTTTTTTACTTATTTATAATTTATTTTTGTTAACACAAATTTCAATGAGCATATTTCATATAGTTAAGTATTAACATACAGTTCAAATATTTAACATTGTTAGTACATTTGCTTCAAATTAAAACCGTATTGTGCGGCAAAGTTATGTTGTTGTCTCTTAATATATATTTTTTATAATAAACACATTCATTCCATTGAATCTCTTTTATACAAAAATAAACAACAAATAGAAAAAATCACATTCTTCTGTGGATTAATATGTGTCAGTTGATGAATTAGTGTACTTGCAGGCGTTCAGGTCCAATTTTAAATATCTAAAGAGCTCTAAGTGTATTATCTAACAAATATTTTCACAAAGGTTTCTAGAATGTATGATTGCCACAAATATGTATTCGAAAGAAGAACAATTTGGTAGTTTCTAGAAATCTAATAGCACTTCTAATGGTGATATCTTAGACGTGAAACACATACGAGATGGTTACTGAATTTGCAAAAAAGAAAAGAAAAGGATGGTTTTGAAGTAGAAGAGAGAGAGAGAGAGAGAGAGAGAGAGAGAGAGAGAGAGAGAGAGAGAAAATGTTCTTATCTTGGCTAAGCGATGATCTCTTAGTACAGGAGATAAGATAATTCACCTCAATTGTAGAAGATCTCATATTTACATAAGTTTTAGTTTTAATTTCCCATAATTTGAACATGCAAACATTATTTATTAGACATGACACTAAGAGATGATTCATTGCCTATTTTTTTCTCCAATTGACTTGAATTGCATGAGAAAAGACTGTCTTATCAAACACTATACATGCTCTAAGGTCAATTTTAAAGTCTCAATCAAAATTAGTGGTTGTGTCTCCCATAAATTTCCCTTTGGCACTGACCTGCTTTTTTACAATTGTGTTGGCATGCGAAATCGCCGTGCAACACCAGTATATTTGTCCTGCTTTCATGACGATTTTTTGGTACCAGACCTGGGGTTTGTTGGAGATCCAGTGACCAGAGGGCTTGGTCTACACCAATCTCGTACGTGATGGCGTGCATGTGCCCTTATGTGTCGCTCATAGGGGGTTAGCACTCATCGAGGGTGTTGCAGCATGGTCCTGTCTCTTTCCCTTTGTTGTCCTTGCTGCGTGGGATGTGCCCTTATGTGGGGATGGCTCCGCGGTGCAAGGTCGCGGTAGGGTCCAGTATCTTTTCCTTGGTTTTCTTATATGTGCTGAAAGTTACCTCCTTGCATTTAGCTGGTGTGTCCATATCATTCCATACGTCATCTTCAGGATCCTCATAATTTCTCTATAGTTGATTATCATTGTCACAATTAGCCCAAAACTTCCTTTAAACGGTAAGTTTGTCAGTTTGCCCAATCTTTCTCAATCCTAAGGGACAATTGGAGCTGGTATCATGCCACGATAATCACCAGTAGTTACTTAATGCACTGCTACCATGATTGCTTGGGTAGCGCCGTGGTTGCTCTCCAAGATTGGACTTTAGCGGAAGCTTTGCTTGGCTATGGCCAGTACCGGTGACGATGAGGCCTTCGAGCACCATTTTCCTTGCTGGAGTCATTACCTAGAAGCTTCTTCTCCCTCTGTGAACTTGAAGGTTTCTCTAGACTATTTGTGAGGCAAGTCGGTCTTATTAACGATGTTTGTTTTGTTGGAAGCTAGGTTACGAGTGGTTTGAAACGGATTCGGCGCAACTCTTTGGTGATGGGTCTTGATGTTTGGAGCTTCTAGGGTCTATGGAATGCCCTATGTCTGACGAGACAAAGCCGAGGAACAAAACTCTCAACTACTCCCCAACAAGGATGAAGCTGGTCAACCTTCATCTGTTGAAACAGGAATCAGAGGACCAAGACGCATAACCATGATGTCCTCTCTGCTGGATAACACCATGAAGACAAATCTACAAAAGAAAAATCACGACTCGAAGAACCATATCGGGGAACACACTATCCTCCACACACCTTCGACAATATGTACAGACACCACCGAAACGAGTGGAGGTGAGGAGACCTTATTTCACGACGATGATGATACTATCATCTTTCCATCACCGATCAAAGACCAAACTCTATATCCTAACCATGCCTCCACCAGACTAAATTCTATATTTTATCCTAGCTTGTCATACTCCTGACTACAAGAGGTCTCAACATTGATGATATTAATGTATGGCCACCTAGGATTTTTGCATCTTCGGTGCAAGATAAGTTATTCGGTGCTGCGGAAAAGGGTAATGTGCAAATTCAAACTAAGTTTTTTCCCGCTAAATTAAAAAGATCAAATTTACTGAAAAGCACTCATGGGAAAGCGTGGGAACGAAAGGTCAAAATCACTATTTAAGGGACACCCTTTGCAAAGGTTACCTTCAAACTTCTCTTGTGGTGACAAGTGGTGCAACACATGTGATCCACTTGTCACCACCAGAGAGTTTTGACGGGTTTACCCAACTGCGCATCCAAGGGGTCGGAGGTTGGTTGTACGTGTTTTTTGTAAATTTAGTAAACCGTGCGTCCAAATCACAAACCGTTTTCACCGTTGTGCTCCTTGCTTGAT